TTTGGATTTTTGGGTTGCTCAATTTCCCCTTCTTTTGCTGCGCTTTTATAACGCTGCCACGGTCTACTGCCAGTCTGTGATTTATGCTTATTTCTTGAATGCATTTCTATTGTTTCCATCGCTCACGTCACGCTATTTACTCATACGTAGTACTGCGATACTGATAGCTGTGCCATCATCGGGGATTGCTGTGCCCGTCGATGTGTGTGTGTGAGTCTATGTGTGTGTCTTTGAGTCCATATGTGTGTGCGTGTAGAGCCATGTGTGTCTTTAAGTCCATGTGGGTGTCTTTTTCGAACGGACAACGTCAAAGTGTTTTTGTGTGTGTGTTAGTCCATGTGTGTGTCAGTCGATCTGTGTGTGTGTACGTCCATGTGTATGTCAGTCCATATGTGTGTGTATTAGTCCACATGTGTGTACATGTGTGTGTCACTCGATGTGTGTGTGTAAGTCAATGCGTCTGTGTGTGAGTCCATATGTGTGTTAATCCATGTCTGTGTATCTAAAGTAGATATCTGTGTGTCACAGTCCATATGTGTATGTGTGTGTAGGGCTATGTGTGTGTCAGTCTATGTATGTGTAAGTTCATGTGTGTGTGTCTTAGTCCATATGTGTGTGTGTAAGTACATATGTGTTTACATCAATGTGTGTTTTAGTCCACGTATCGCTGTGTGCGAGTCGGTGTGTGTGTGTGTGAGTCGCTGTATGTGTGTACGCCCATATATGTGTGTGCAACTCCATGTGTGTATATCTCAAGTGGATATCTGTGTGACAGTCCACATGTGTATGTGTGTGTACGGCAATGTGTGTGTCACTCTATGTGTGTGTGTGTGTCGCTGTATGTGTGTACGTCGATATGTGTGTGTAACTCCATGTGTGCGTTTCTCAAGTGCATGTCTATGTGTGATTGAGTCCATAAGTGTGTGTGTCTGTAAGTCGATGTGTTTGTGTGTGTCAGTCCATATGTGCGTGTGTGTTAGTCGCTGTGTTTGCATGCCTCTATGTTAGTCAGTGTAACTCCATTTATTTGCGTGTCTGTAGGTCCATGTGTGCATCTTAGTCCATGCGTGTGCTTTATTGACCTTCTCAAGGCCTATGATACCATCAGTAGGCCTGGCCTCTGGGTTGCTCTTCGTGCTTTCCGAGTCCCGAACCCACTCATCACCATCCTTAAGGACCTTCATGATGGTGAGCAGCCCTGCGTCTTAACTACGTGGCCGTGAGTCAGAGCCATTCCCTGTACACCTTGGGGTGCAACAGGGATGTCCTCTGGCTCCCACATTGGACCACGTAGTTCGTCGAGCCTTCAATACCTGTACCGGAAGAATTCCCATCTGCTACAGATACAATGGGAGGCTGATCGATGCCCGGGTGCGGTCAAGGGATGGCTCCCTGTTGCTCAACCACGTTATGTATGCCGATGATCTGCTAATGGCTGCTCACTCGGAGGAGGAGTTCGAGGTGCTGCTGCTGAACCTGGAGCTTGCCACCAACAGGTGGGGCCTTACCATCAGCCCAACCAAAGCTAAGCACCTGCCTGGCTATTTTGTACCATTGGACACAGACACTCCACCCCCACAACTCCCAAATGGTGATGGGGCAGTTGTGGAGACAGTGGAGAGTTTCCCTGGGCAGTGTGCTAATGACCGGCTCCGGTTTAACAGCAGAGGTCTTACTCCGAATCAGTCGAGCTGCAGTATCTTTTCATTGGCTGTGCAACGCTGTGTGGAAGCTACCTGCTCTATCACTCCGTACGAAGCTTCAGGTCTTCTCGGCCACGGTCATTCCCTCCCTTCTCTACGCTTGCGAAACTTGGACCCCCCATAATGGAACATCTTTGCCGGTTACAAACATTTAGGCTGGCCTGCCTACGATCCATCCTGGGTTTAACCAGGCTGCATTGTGTGAGGAGCTCACAAATCCTTGAAAGATGTGGACAAAGTCCCATCGGTGACCTTCGACAGGCAAAGCTGCGTTGCCTGAGTCATGTAGCCCGCATGGCCAGCCACCGCATGCCTAAACAGCTTTTGTTCTGCCGGATCGAGGGGGCTAAACGGGGGTGGCACGGGCTGGAGAAGACATGGAGTGATGTGCTACAGGAGGACTTGGAGCTGAGTCCACTTGTGGATGACTGGTACCAGCCGTGTCAAGATCGGCCACTGTGGAGGAGGCTCCTGAAGGACGCTACTGGGCAGTTGGAGGCAGTCACCCTCCAACAACAACGGAGGGCGGAGGAGTGACGCTCACAACAACGAGCGGAGCGCCGGGTGGCTAAAGCACAGAAAGTTGCCACAGTAGATGCCACAGGTGGCGCATCAGCCAGTTGTCTCAGTCAGTCGACCTGTGCCATCTGGGTTTGCCCCCTGACCTCTTTCCAGCGGGCGTTCGACACTTCACATGGCCTCAATGTGCACATAGCCTGGCACAAGCGTTGTTGTGACATCACCGCCACTTAGTGGCGAATGGCGGTTGTTGTTGTTCAGTCTATGTATGTATGTGTGAGTCCATTTGTGCGTGTAACTCTATGTGTGTGTATCAATGGATTTGCGTGTGTAACTACATGTGTATCTGCCTTTTTCGTCCGGGCAACGCCGGGTACTAACCGCTAGTAATGTCATATAGGGTAGTCTGCACACAAACACCACCCTCCCTCAGCAGTCTGCTTGGAAGATTATCTCTGCCCAGCACTTTTCCTGGTCTGGGATGCTTGATCACCTTCCGTAATTCCTCAACAGATAGCACTTCAGCCAGCCACGCACAGGGGTGACTACTTATTCCAATATTTAAGGCAACGCAGCCTCAGCAGGATCATTCTCCCTTTGCCCCATGATGTGTTTTGGGCTGAGGGATTTCCATCATCACCACCAACACCACCATCATCACCTTCACCACAAATTACCACAACTACTATCATCACCACCACCACCACCAACACTAGTGGCGATTATCTAAGCAAGTCGTGGGCCTCCCATAGGTCGACTCAGACTCAAATGAGTACCTGGTGCAGTGTGTAGTAAACATCCCCACTAGGAAGACAAAGGCGGCCGGACGTAGTGATGGCCACTGACCCCTTGTTGTGCCGTCCCAGCCCTAATCGGTGCTGCTCGCTAACAGCACTTGCCCCAACAGTCTGTTAAGGCTACATGGGAATCGTGTTCATGTTGAGTTTCCTACCAGGACGACTCATGTGGATTCCCTTTTACAAGTGTAGTGAGTCCACCTGAGTCGCAGACGTTGTTTTTTAGAGGCAACACTTTTATTGTAACATCAACCCATTAACACAAAGGGGTAACTGCCCCTTCACCAGATACAGCCTCGGGTGGTGACCACCCAGCTAACTACTCTATTCGTAGCAGTTACAGCTACGAAGGGTCAGACCCTCACTCGGGTCCCCGACCACATGTTGATGCCTCGTAGGACGTAAAGCTTCCAGCTTGTAGACGTAGAGCTTCCAGCTTGTAGACTGCAGCGACCCTGGTCCCTCTCCGGGACCCACCTTATATCCTCCCTCTCGAGAGCTCTCCCTGGACACGTGATCGCCCCCTAGCCCCCCCCCTCACCTGGGGCCCTCTCTGTGGACACTCCGGATCACGTGTCTACGGGGTCAACCAGAGTGCCATTGCCCGGGGAAACCCTGCCCCTGGGCTGATACTCTCCCGCTTCACCTTGTGGGAACCCGCACTGTACATGATGTGTGGTGCCCGCGCTATCCCAGCGCTCACCAAGCCCCACTAGGGCTGGTACTACACCCGCCTACGGGGTGTACGCGATGACGATGCATCGCACGCTAGAGCCGGCCTCACACAGTAACACACCCGGTGCTGTCCACGATGTAGGGACATCGCATGCTGTTCTAAAACCGGCCTCGCACAGCAACACTCACAGTGCTGTCCGCGATGTAAGGACATCGCACGCCAAAGCCCTCTCGGGCCGGCACCATACACTGACATCCCCGATGCCAGTACACAGGCATAAAAAATGGTGGTATATGTTTGTTGTGAAGAACACCGGTAATGATTGGCATTACTCAATTTAGTAAGTACATTTATAAACGTGCAACTCGTATAGCCTAGGTATTCACGAGTGCGCAATACACATACATTTTAAGCCCTACTCAACAATTATGTCTTGCATTTTCTACTTAACTGGTTAAATGTCTGTAAAAAGTCTCGAACATCGCATAGTTCCAGGCCGACAGACCACTGAGTAGGTGAGTGGGTGTGTGAGTATGTGAGTGGGTGGGTAGTTATGTTCCAGGCCAATGGACTGCTGAGTAGGTGAGTGGGTGTGTGAGTAGGTGAGTGTATGGGTGAGTAGATGAGCGAGTGGGTAGGTGAGTTCTAGACCAATGGCCCGTGAATAGGTGAGTGGGTGGATGAGTAGGTGAGTGAGTGGTTGGGTGATTAGGTGAGTGATTAGGTGAGTAGGTGAGAGGGTGGGTAGTTGTGTTCCAAGCTGATGGACCGCTCAGCAATTGAGTGAGTGGGTGAGTGGATGGGTGAGTAGATGAGTGGGTAGGTAGTTGTGTTCCAGGCCAATGGACTGCTGAGTAGGTGAGTGGGTGTGTGAGCAAGTGAGTGAGTGGGTGAGTAGATGAGCGAGTGGGTTTGTTTGAGTTCCAGACCGATGTCCTTTGAGTAGGTGAGTGGATGTGTAGGTGAGTGGTTGGTTGAGTAGGTGAATGATTGGGTGAGTAGGTGAGAGGGTGGGTAGTTGTTTTCCAGGCTGATGGACCGCTGAGCAAGTAAGTGAGTGGGTGAGTGGATGGGTGAGTAGGTGAGTGGGTGGGTGAGTAGGTGAAGGGGTGGGTAGTTGTGTTCCAGGCCGATAGATCGCTGACCACAAAGCACACACATATATATAATAATCTGGTGATTAACTGCATTATCAATTTGTAAACTTTTTGGGAATGTACGGATTTGTTAATTGAATAATAATGTACGTGGCATGGTGAAAAAAAATGCGCAAAATTGGCAATTTTTTGAGATTCAAATACTTACCTACACTTGCAGTTATGATCAATTGTGGGCTTGTAGGTTCAGCAGCTGCCGAAGAAGCATAACACGTGTGTGAGAATTAATATATACGTGTAGACACCACCATGTAATATCGTAATTATGTTGAGTTCTAAAAGGGTTATTCCAAAACACCTATTTATATTAACATGTTCACCCAATATCAGTGACAATGTGCTTTGTTAGCTATGGGAGAAAACCAGATAAGCCCATGCAGAACAGAGGGAGAACATGCAATCTCCACATAGGAAGGCACCCAAGTTGAGATTTTTGGTGTTAGGCAAGAAGAGCATTAATTAATGCATCGATAACTCAAAGGAGCTTACATCACCACATCTCATCTTAAACATTTGAAGGGGAGCCTCCAGGGCCAGTGGTCACTATAGAACACAAGGCAACCATGGACCAGCCTGCTGTGTAATCTATAGCAAGGAGTTAGCAGCATCATTCTCACATATGACAGATTTGGACCGACTATCTTGTGACTATCTGTTTTTGTCAATGAGTAAATACGATAATCTTTTTAAAGAGTTACATAACAAATGTTTATTTCAGAATCGTTATGTACACTGGAGGAATCTGATGAGCTATGAAGCTCTTTCTCACAGAGGTCCATTAGGGGCGGGTCAGCAAGTTACATCAATAACAATACAAAAGAAACTGATATGAGTGCAAAGAATAGGAAAGCCAAACAAGTCGCTAAAATAAAGAATAAAGTACAAATTAAATAAGTGCATCTATTCCTGCCGATTTTGAAACACCAAATGCAAGCTTGGGGCAAGCAGCAAAAGAACAACAGCAGTCCCAGGCGACACCAAGACAGCACACAGTAGTCCATCAATTATATTGCACATTTACATTGAACTATCGATGGACGGGTAAGGATCAAAGTTACAAATCTCATTTACAAATGTGGTTGTGTCCAGCACCAATTTTCTGCTTCAGGATATTTTTGAAGGAAGATGTAAGATGTTAAGGGAGGAAACAAATGAATGTCCATTGCTATTTTTTTTTATTTTCAGTTGAGTGCATTTGGTTCTCACCTTCACAAATTACGGCGGCAGTTTCCATATTGCTGCAATTTTGTGTCCCTGTTTGAAGGCAGTCAAATATAGTATTTGGGAACGCTGCGCACGCGACGTTGTCCGAGAGGATTGTCGCGGACGTATTCACAAACTGGGTCAAGCTTCCGTGAGACAAACTCCACCCACAGCCCAGAAGACGGCAGATCGTATCTGCGCCGTGAGTGTCCAACGCGGAGCTGCACACTCTGCTCCACACAGAGCTCTTGATGACTTCTACCTGTCCCTCGCAGCGGTTCCTTCCATTTATGAGACGCAGTCCTGCACCTGTTGGATATGAAAGAGATTGTCATTTAAATTACAATAAAGTTTGGGTTTATACAACTTCTGAATGTACCAGTCAGTATCATTCAGTCAGTGAAAAGAATGAGTATCCTTAATTAAATTCTGTTTCGTTTATTTAACTAGGAGATGCAATTGAGACACATGCAATATAATTGCCTATTTTACCAGGGTCACCCTAGAGGCAGTTTAGTTACACAATATTTTACTTCCACCTGTACCGAACTCTCCCTGGTTCTTCTTGATCTCGTATTACATTTGCACAGTTTGATTTTCATTCGCGTGTTTTGTTTACGACCGTTAAACACCTCGTTTGTTAGTTGTGCAATATTCCTCAAGGGCACTGCTGCTGGTCTCGTTCTCTGCAATGTTGAATTGTCTTGTTTGTCTTAAAACTTTCATGACTGCAGGAATTCATATTCTTCGGTTCTTTCGTTAAAGTCACGTGACTTTACCGAAATAACCAAAGAATATGTCTTGTTTGTGTTGTTGCTGACCCACACGCCACCACGGACCCTCCGTATAAAATAGCCAGGCAACTAGCTACACGGGAATATCATCCGTGTAACAAATCAGAATAAACCGGTAAACGTTTAATTTTCGCATATCTAACTTTAGCAATTTAGTAAAAATGTGAATAAGGCAAAGTCAAAAGGTGAATGTCGCTTAATAATAATTGTTTAATGTACACGATTTATAATCCAAGTTTTGGTAAGGACAGGGACGAGATTAGGAAAAACATTTACATTAAATACATGACTTTACCGAAATAACCAAAGAGTAATTCCTGCAGTCACGACAGCTTCAAATCAAGTTTAATTAAATATGAATTTTAACAAATTGGATTAAGACAGCCACTAAAAAGGAAAATTAAGTTAAACATAGCCAAATAAAAAACATTTAAATCGTGACTGCATGCCAATATGCTGTACACAAGGGGAGGATATGTGGTGCAGAATGTTTTAAAGAGATTATTGGATTTCTCAAATCAGTTTATAGGGAAAATAATGAGGAGTGAAAGGCTTCAGCCCACGAGTGAGTTGAGACGACGGGATGAAAGAAATTGGGGGGAGATGAGGTAAGTCCCTGGAGTCGAGGTGCATCCCTTGACTCACCTTCTGTTTTACAAAATGTCGCGTTAATGTAATTGACAAACTATGGACACTTTTGGATTAACGAAAATAAATTTCACTTTGGCACGCGCCATAAGATCATCAAACAAGAAGCAGACATGATTCCTTGTAAAAGGTTTCAGATTGGTGTTTTAACATCTTAACACCTGTTTTGTTGCCAGAAAAAAGGGGAAAACCTATTCTCAAGATGTCTATTGTAATTTATATGAATACATTAGCCCCGTGGCCCTCGCACCTGAATGGCTCGCAAGTGACGACATCAAACTTATCCCTCTATTTAAGACCGACATAGGAGGAGGATATATCCACAACTGTGGCTGTCGCCTGATGATGCTAGTTGTAATTACCGGCGGAACGTCACGGTACTCGAGTTGTAAATGTTTTGGGTTTACTCTCCAACATACCGGTGTGTTTAATTAGTAACTAATTAGCATGTTTTCTTTACGAGACAAATCTTACTTATTGGCTGTGTCGGGTGGTGGCAGGTATAACAACACATTTATATTTACGCGATCTAACCCAAACACCCTCTATTATGGACTTCCACTTTAGTTTGAAGGCGTCAGAGAGCCCACATGGTGGGATTTGCTCCCAGCCCCGCACAATCCAATGGACGGCCCTGCCCATAGCGTTCAATGTTAAAGGCTCCCGTGGCGTTCAATGTTAAAGGCTCCCATGGCGTGTAATGTTAAAGGCTCCCATGGTGTTCAATGTTAAAGGTCCTCACTGTTTTCAATGTTAAAGGCTCCCAAGGCGTTCAATATTAGAGGATCCCATAGCTAGAGCCGTCTCTAGGGTATGGGAAATCTGGGAGACTGCGCCGGGCCCCACGCTTTGGGGAGCCCCGTGCATCGACGTCACGATGTCAGATGTAATACTTCCCATTTAGTCGTTTAGTTTCAATACCTCAGGGGGGCCCACATAGTGGATTTTCCCTGGGCCCCGCACTCCCCTAAAGACGGTCCTGCTCACAACTTTATGTCATCATAAATAAAAAAAGCCCTATTTAAGAGGTTTTGTGAACTGTTCAAAGTGTAAACAAATATGTAACACTGACATTTTTTTAAAAATATGTTACTGGGGGAAAAAGTAATGTACAAAATAGCAAACCTGTACATTGAACACCGGCATCTGATATCCGAGTGCAAGAGTTTGGATTTCCTTCGGTCAGTGTGCACTTGAAGAGAGAATCTTCCAATGACCCACACGTGGCTGTCCACTTGGGGCTGGGGCCCTTGCCATAGTAGGCCTGGTTATCGACAGCATTCCCACATTGCATTTGTCGGCACACAACATCAGCAGCACCTAAAGTCCAGCCAGCGTCACAAACTGAGCCCCAGGTGCCGTTGTTCATTATTTCTACTCGGCCTCTGCAATTCATTTCACGATCCACAAGCCGAATTGTTCCATCTGGAGAGTACAATATCACACGTCGCAATAGTGAGGCTATAATATAATCAGTATCACAGGGATTGGCATGTATACACATAGTTTTATTCATTTTATTCATAGACATAAATTACGTTTGTCTGGTGTGTTTCAAATAAGTTATATATCTCAAGGTGTAGCTTTACATTTCAATATAAAAATTATGATTTGACTTACTTTCCGTTCCGGTGACAATCACTTGAGGGTTTGCAGTCCCTGAAGCTGAAAAGTCATAACATGTGTGAATGAACCACATTTATCACAATAAATCATTCTCAGACCAGATTAGATACACTTTAACCTAACCCTAGAATCGGCCAAATATAGATAAATGATGGGCTGCAAAGGCATTGCAGGGACAAGAAGGTGTTTTAATAATAATATTTACATTTTGTTCCAATTACGTCTCCACGTCAATAGGGTTGTATTCAGCAGAGTCTATGGGTCTCATCAATGTAGTTTGTGTTCACGCTTTTACAACAAATGCATGGTCGCGGTTTTTCTGGTCCACTTCTCTCGGTCTAAAAGCTAAAAGCCACATTCTGCACAAAACCCGCACTGCTAATCAATAGCTGAGGCGGGAATGCCTTCCGGGTTAGCGTACGGGCCCGAGAGCTGGACCGTGACTAAGCAGCTCGAAAATAAGTTGTTAGCAATTGAGCACCAGTGTCTGAGAAGGCTGCTAGGGAAATTCGTGACAAGACAAAGATAAGCAATTCAGAAGCGATGCAGACGTCCATGAAGAGGGAATGGCAGGCGAGTGTTGTGGGTATGATTTGGGCTGCAACGACTGCGAACGATGGGGCACGTGTGCAGGATGAGAGGTGTCAGCTTCCCGAGACAGGCGTTGGGAGCGGTCTCCATGGGTCCGCCGACCAGGGGGAACAGAAGACCCAAGAGCGGATGGTGGGACAGTGTCAGCGCAGATCTTAGAGGCCGCGTGTCTACTATTGTACAGCAGGTGTGGAATTTAGCAGAGGATAGAAAGGGCTAGTGAGGTGTGGTGGCATCATTGACTTTGGGCATGATGATATATTGATCCTAAATATCTTAACATACAATGCAGACCTTTCATATATTGACTTTGTTTGAATGCCGTTATCTGGGTTCAGTGATCCCACTCCTAACCAGGTCATCATTTTGATTTTTGGAAATCCTCAGTACTTTTTGTCCGCCTGTGGACGACCGCTTGTGTTGCGATTGAAACGTCGTGATTTATTTTATTTTATATCTACGTAACTTTACCGAAAGAACCAAAGAGTATGATGGTTATGATTCGGAATTGGAAAAAAAGAATATCGATTTAGACACCATACGGTTTCAATAATTTCGAATCTTATCTTATAATTATGAAGCTCCTTAGGTCAATGTGCTCTACATTGTTTGAAAGCGGTAACAACAACAAAGTGATTTAGATGGCTAAGGCAGTGCAAGGGCGGAGGAATGAGTGGCCGTAACAGAGGGCACGTGAGGGTCACATAAGTGCAGGGGAGGGACGGGACAGAGTGGAAGGGAAAAGGGATGTAATAGCAAGGGATTGGGTGATAGGGAATAGTTGAGCTATACGAGAAGAATAAAAGGAGGTTAAGGCTGTGGTATTGCTTCATGTATAGGGGCGGTTTGTTTCAGTGGTAGGGCGCATGGTAATTGGTGCATACATAGTTGCAGTGTAATGCGTCATTCATTTACAATTACGGAGGTTATCATGTATTTTAAATGCTGTAGAGTTAGTGTTATATTAGGTAAATGTAGCTGTACTAACACGAGAGAAAACAACAAACAGCGCAAAAGTGACTGTAAACATGAGACCAAACAATGCATTATTGAGTTGACTCGAAAACCGTGAATTGTGACAATTCGGTGGACCACGTCATGGGGATGTGTGAATCACTACACTCGCTGTTTGTGGCGAACATGACGATCTTGTTGCAGCAGAAACCAAACTGAAAAACTAAAGTGTTTACCAGTTATTTACGATAAAATAAAAGTCACGTAAGATCAAGGACAACATACCCTCGCAGATTATTGCTGCTGTTTGAAGTTGGCTGCAATTATTTGTCCCAAACTGCAAACAGTCAAATATTTGATTCGGATAAGGTGAGCAAACTAAATTATCAGGCAATATTGTTCCAGCTCCAACACCAAACTGCGACATCATTCCATGGGCTACACTCCAACCGCAGCCGAGCAGACGGCAAATCATGTCTGCATCTTGAGTGTCGACAGTTGAATCACAGATTTCATTCCAAACACCATTTCTAGAAATCGCCACCCGGCCCTCACAGCGATTTGTTCCACCCACAAGACGGAGTCCTTTCGCTGAAATAGACAAGCCATGATGATGTTAAGTAATTTCATAGCATTTTTGCAATAACAGTGCAGTCGTAATTCCCCTCCCAGCCGCTCTGCGTGTACCACCAAGCCGACGTGTAATCACCCCCCCCCCCAATTGTCCCTTTAATGAGGCCAGATGGTACACAGTCTCTAAGGGTTCACAATGGAACAAGACTGATCCTTGCACCGTGAGTAGATCCACGACCCCAGCTATCGCTCTTAGTCAGCGAACTCAACTCCCAGTGACCCAAACCATCTTTCTACCCGTTGTTTAATGTTTCCTTAACCCCGCCTTGATTCCAGAACCTTCCCTGCTCACCCCCCACTCTCATACCCGGTCCCCACCACAACTCCCGCCACTCTGCAAGCTCTGCCCTCCTTCTCGAACCTTCCACAACCTTTCAACCTCTTCCCTTCTGCACACTCGGTTCAGATAAATCAAGAACCACTACACAGTCATAGAATCATGTTTTGCAATTTTCAGCTTCATATTTATATATAGGGTAAGTGTTCGCTTAACACGTGTTCAGATAATGTGTTGTCACTATAACATGGTTCTTCCATTAGGAAAACTTTTGCACAACGTGGAACGCACCCGTTAAAATGCGGAATGCATACCGTTATAGCATGGAACGCGCCCGTTATAACGCGGTTTCTAAGCGATAGATGATGAAGTACTTTCTTGACCTGCGTGGCTGCCCATCTCACTGTGCGTGCGTTCATCGTATCTCACCACACTTTATCGTTACATTTTTAATGGGCAGATTGTTTTTGCTCAAAGCAATTTTTGCGAACTGTGGTACTTTTGAAGAACGCATCTACTCCGTTTAACAATTACTGTTTATATACAAAGACAGTTCTGTTTGTATATTTTAGTGATAGCTGATATTGTTTGATCGTTTTTAATGCATCTACTCTAAATTACATGATGAATTGAATCATTTTTACATTTTGGTTCACAAAGTAATACAATGTTTTTATTTATTTATAGTATTGAATTAGCTTTGTAGTAGCAGCCCAAAGTATGATTTTTTTTATTACCGTGCAATATGATACTTCATGTGTTATTTTATGGTCTGGACGATACATACCTGAGCAAAGAGTGTAGTAATATCCGTCCTGTAAACAGTCATACTTATTTCTTGGTGTCACATTGCATTCCGATATATTATTTGCAGCAATGTCGCACTGAACACTCAACGTGGGCACTGGTAGTGGAGTGTTGTAACGTGTGGACGATATTTCATATCCACATTCCAATTCACGGCAGGCAACGTAGCCCATGTAGGAAGTGCTTCCGCATACTGCTCCCCATTCTCCATTGTTAAATATCTCCACGCGACCTTGACATTCCATTTCACGGTCAACCAGATGAATCATATCATCTAAATAAACACACACATATTTATTTGTCATCTCATTATAATCAATTGCATATAAAACAAATAGGAGTAGACAAGGATCTCATTGTATCTATCCATAAAATGTGTTTGCTATAACGAAGATTACTCCATTAGCCCACAACACAAGGCAAATTATATTTACGTTCATCATTACTTGACCGACTTCGTCCCCCAACAAGACTTCACTCTCTATGTAGCACACCTCATGTAGCACATCGGAATTGTGAAATCTAAGATAACGTAAACATGCGTTACCTTAAAGGTGAAGTGGTTTTCATAATTAGAGGGTACAACACAACGAGAGGTGAGACAAGATGTGTTCCCTTCACCTACCCACACGAACCCACTGCTTGCCCCCTGCCAGTTGAACTTACTCGTTGATCCAGTTATGATCAGCGATTGGTTTCCGTTCCCGGATGCTGTTGGAAACAACAAGTTGAAGGATTACATTTTACACCATGCAATCCCAACGTAACTAAACAGAAAAGGTTTCACAGCCAAGATTCATAATTCATAATTTTATTTTGGGTTAGGCCACGCAATTATCTGACCAAATCTATGTGGTTAAGCCCCTCCACTACCCGACAAAGTCAAACACATCAATTGCCACATGGTGTACACGCGTCTAACACACCAACTACAATTTGTTCAGCTCAACAGTAAATAGAAGAACAACTCTACCTACTAGAGGAGTCTATTAGGAAAGTCCTCACTTAACCCATGGTGTTCATTTTTGCTATAACGTGGTTCTTACATTCAGGAACACTTTTCGCACAACGCCGAACGTGCCCCGTTATAATGTAGAATGTGTACCGTTATAATAGGGAACGTGCCTGTTATAACGTGAAATGTGCACCGCTATAATGTGGAACACGCCCGTCATGACGTAGAATGTGTACCGTGATAATTCGGAACGTTCCCATTATAACGTGGAATGTGCACCGTTATTACGCAGTTTCTGAGTGGTTGATAACGAACTACTTTCTTGAGCTGCACGGCTGAGCGTTGAAGTCAAATAGCACGCGGAATGATACAGTAACGCAGTGACAGCATACCCTCAGTTAACTGTATCGCCATCTCAGTGTGTGCGAAGTACGTCGTATCTCGCCAAACGTCATTGTCATTGATTTATTAATGGGAGGAAATTGTTTTCGCTGAACACGGCACTTTTCTGGAACGCGTCTACCGCGTTGAACGAGGAATACAGGACACGGGAATATTTTTTTAAAACTACACCCCTAAACTTTAAAGTGGTATGACCTGCATTGATATATTCCGCAACCCTCCCCCCGCCGTGAAAAGCATAACAATGGGGGGGGGGGGGGATTGAGCCTGAAACCAGATGAGACTGATTTGAGTTGCAACAACCTCGTGGAGAGAAGCGTGGCCACCTCTCAAGAAAACGTTGATATTTGGGCCAAAGACAGGCATAGGTAGTTATATTTCGTGCAGGGTATGATTGCAAAATATTTTACCGTTCACGGGGGAATTGTTTTGAGTGATCATCGTGAAGTCAATGATAATGCAAGCCGTTCTCGCTTCAAGAGCATTCTTTTACGAGAATTCGCCAGAACGAGCAATTCCAATTAATGTAACAAGCGGAAACCGATCTATCAAATGCCTCCTTTGGCGGCAGGGGGCGCACCACGGCCCTCAACCACAGCCCGCAGGTGTTGTATTTGCTTCGCAGTTGTGCTGGGCTGCGTGAAATGCGTGTTTGGGGTGGGTCCGGTGAGGGGTGGGTGGCAGGTGGGGGCCTTGTGGTCGAACCGTAATGGGTGGGTGGCCCAACGGTTAGCGCGTGACACTCCAAGCCCAGTCCAACCGAATTCGATTCCCGCTCACGGTCAACACCAATGACGATTATCTGAACCTGTCCTAGAGCTCTCCCAGGGCCCACGTAAATGAGTACTTGCAAAGGTGTGTAAACATCGCCACTCGTGAGACAAAGGCGTCCAGGCGTGGTGCTGGCTCGTGTGCCGTGCCGGCTTTCATCGGTGCTCGCGAACAGCGCTTGACCCAACAGTCTATTAAGGCTACGCAGGGGATCTTTGTCTCAGGGGGTTAAGAGAGAGCGCGAAAGGTCTGTGTGAGTGGAGAGACAGGAGGTGATGTCATAGGCTATATACGGGATCTTGCACTGTGGTTCTTCATGTGCCGTGTGACATTTGATGTGTTATGACATTATTTTAAAACTATACAGTAATTTGTATTTCTCTTGTTGAAAACGTTGTTCAATGGTGGACAATGTTAGAATTGAAAGGTAACTCTGCTTTTAACGTGGGAGTGAGTCAATGGGAAAACGATAATTTAACGAGTTTTTGCTTACTGAGCAAATTTCGCTTAACATATCTCGCTCGTTTAGCGAGACACGCTTGTGCATTTGGCAGTGTTGTTTATGGCAGCGCAGTACGATCCAGTAAATTACTTTGGTGTTGTGTAGCGAAAGTATTATAGTCCTGATGCAGATTCAAGATAAGTATTGTTATCACTATGCAGATATGCGGATTCTGTGAAAATATATCAAATGCATTACTATAGGATATTATGTTGGTGTGATTTAAGGAAGTGGTCGTGATGCTAAATATCGTGGAAGGAAGAGGACGATGTCACTATATGGATATCTTGATTGTTTTGTAGGAATAGAGGGATATTGGAGTTGATGAAAAATAAAATAATCGGCTTTGCCCGTTCCGTTGAGAATAAAGGTGTCAAGCCCGAGCTCTGAAACTTTTGCTGAAAGTGTGGCTTACAGAGGAGAACGGTATGTGAGGAACTCACACTCCTGGAATAATGATAAAGCTGCAGTTTATCGGTCAAATATTGAGGCACCCTGGATAATAGTGGGTATATTAACCAACTTATATACACCATCTGCTTTACAGTGAAGCTTGCAGAACCTGTGACATTCGAAAAAAAGTAGGTCATTGTGTGCTGGAGTCGTCATCCAAATTTGACAAATGACCCATTCATTATGCAATCGGGAAACGCATGGCACCATCACTACCGGCTGTAAAACTATTGCATGCTACGTGAAGCATAGCACCTTCGCGAATACACTGTGCTATGAGAATGGAGAGATACCAAGTATACTTTTCATTTGAAAAGCCACCATTTATTTTAGTAACATGTCCTGCCCAAGTGCAACTTACTTTCCTTGACGGTCAATATTATGTTATTAATTAGTGTACGTTCTATAAACTTTGTGGCCCTCTTCCTGTCTGTCAGGTTAATTCCAAGCATGCGCCATCAAAACAATATCATGAGCAACGATGGAGAGCTTATCACAGAACTAAACTGTGTGATAAACAAGTGGAAATAAAACACTGAAACGTTGTATAACCCCGCAGTTACAATTAGCACGGCCGGACGTTCAACATACATACAAGAAGCGAGAGGAGATTACAATTAAAGATCGGTGACAAGTTGAGGGTAACCCGATTTAATGTTAATATAAAGCATCGATTAAACAAAAAACTATAAACACAACAAAGCAGAATGTGTCAATGGAAAGCGGCAGACATTATTTGGGTAATGGCAGATACAATTAGGAAATATTTGATAGATTGGGGTAAGGAAATGTAGGCTAAATGTGTACTTCAAATTGATAAAATAAAAAACAAATCATTGCTCACCTTCACAAATGATGGCAGCTGTCTGTGAAAGGTTGCAATTGTTAGTTCCGTATACAAGGTTATCATATATTCTGTTGCCAGGTGAGGATAGGTTATCTGGGAAGATGGTTCCCTGTCCGAGTCCAAATGCCGACACGTTACTACCATAAGCAAGGCTCCAGCCACAGCCCAGCAGACGGCAAATGCCGTCTGCGATGTCTCTGTTCACAGTGGAGCTGCAGAGCTCTCCCCACACGCCATTTTTGTAGACTTCCATGCGGCCCTCACAGCGGTTGGCACCTCCAACCAGACGGAGCCCTGCAGCTGCAGATCAAAATGAAAGTAACTGTGAAACGTGAGCATTACACATCCCACAAGGACGCATCCACGCACACAGTACGAATCTAAATCTATTGCAGCCCATAAGCCCATAAGCCCATAAGCCAGGATCCAAATGTTGGCCATTCTGTGATTTTCAATATTCTGCTATTAAAACTGAAACTCTTTACTACGCATTATTCCACTTTAGGCTGCATTCTAACTGGGCTAATTTTAACTCTTTTGGGCAGAGATTTTTTCTAATTTCATCAAACACAGCCTGGAATCCCTTGTGGATGCGTTAATGGCTCCAGTTAGGACGCAGAAATCTCCACCTCAGGCTTTGCACTTACAATTAACGTGCGCAAATAGCTAATGGCAACACGGAAGAAATACGATAAAAAAATAGGCCGTATCCTTTCCTGCAATAATACCGAAGGTGTTAAAATATTAAAACACCAAATAGACACATATTACAAGGTATCATTACGTCTGCATTAACCACACATCGCGATTGTGGTATAATATGCATTATCAAAGCATATTTGTTTGCATGTTAAACCACAAGTATATGGTTATTCCACATATGCATGATGTCTGATTAGGGTAAAACATGGTTCTATACGTAACATGTAGTGGAGAAAATGTTTTTCCCCTAGGTCTAAGTGGGGCCGTGAGCCACCGCTGTGAACAATGAACACCAGTGAATTCCTTTACTTTGTTTCGGTTAAAATATATTTTGTAAGGCACAGTACCTGAACATGAAACGTAGCTCTTTGTTGGGTCCCAGTATGCACCATTACAGTACTGGTTTTGCCGTGACAGCGTGCACTGGGACATTGATTTCTCTAATCCCGTGCATGAGGCGGACCACGCGGTATTATACCCTTCCACATAGTAATAATTGTAAAAAATTGATTGGCCACAACCCAACTCCTGGCACACAGCATAGCTAATGGATGGGTAATAGAAGCATACGCTCTCCCATGTGCCATTCTGAAGTATCTCCACCCGCCCCTGGCAGCTGTACTGGCTGTCGACCAGACGCAGGGCCGCATCTGTGAAGACAAACAACACGATCACGCGTTGTGATTTACAATTAAACAATTTGGAGTTCATGCGAAAAGAAATTAAACCTACACATCTAAATTACATCCACGTCCAAATGAACAGTTGTGTCAACGAGATTGGGAAACAATGCATGGTACTCAATAAGCTATAGCAACCAAATGTCACATATCATCACCATCATTCATGATCAATCCTACATGTGTACGTAGTACATCATATCTCTCCAACCTTTATCGTTACATTATTTGTGGGGAATTTGTTTTCGCTTAACGTGGCACTTTTTAGGAAAGCCTCTACTACCGTGTTAAGTGATCTGCTATTATACACAATAATGATACAATCGGGAAATGCATGGCAACAGCACTCCCTCCTGAAAAATAACTGCAGACTACGTGAACAGCCACCAAAAGGCCTTCTTATAGCATTGCTATAATTCATGATACCATGATGCCACGATCCATCTCACTCCCACACATCAACTGATTGAATCGCTTTGTCTTTGCAATGGTCATCCTCTCGGGAATGCTTATTTCTTCAGCTGCCATTCTATAGCCAGTCTTGTCCATTGGCCATAACCCCATTCTAACCATAATGCAAGCCCATTGGCTTTCTTTGACAATCAATATGATGTATCTAATTTGTGTTAATTGCTCTGATCTATGTGTTCCTCTTCTTGGTTCTTTCGGTAAAGTCACCAAGAAGATGAATTCCCTGCAGTCACGAAAGCTTTAAATCGAAATTTATGTGTTCCTCATTGTTCAGTGAAATTCCAAACATCAAATAGAAGCAAATGTATTTGTCCAGCGCCATATCTCAGAGGCGATGTCACGAGGCCGAGGCCTGTGGCGATGCTTGAGTAGAGAGGCAGCCGGTGACTTGATCCGAGTCCCGAACGCTACGCGAAACAACGATGTTTTAAATGTTTATTGTTTTTTTATTTACATTTCATAAGATGGCATGAGATCGAAGGTCATCAGGCAGAGCATTATAGACTGATGGAGAGGCGACTCAGAATGCTCCGCTGGCCATTATGGCTCTGGTCGGTGGAATCACGAGCAATGATTCGCTGGATAATTGCAGACGTTTGATCGGAATTGTGAACCGTGAGCTGTTCAGAGAGACAGTCGAATGTTCTGCAGAGCCTGGTAAGTTATGGATGCAGCCTTGTACCTAAATACATTTCAGAATCGGCAGCCAATGAAGCCACATGAGGAGTCTATGGCTAGGCTGTTTGGACTGTGTAGCTCTTTTTAGATGTGACCTGGCTACAAGTGATAACTCAATGAAGTGGATTATCATGTGGCAACTTATCGCAGCCAAATACTCGATATGCATGTTTTCTAAATGTGGAGAGAAAAATTGGAGGACCCGGAGAAAAATCCACGTGACCACGGGGAGAACATGCAAACTCCAAATATATAGGCATCAGCCTTGGGATCGAACCGATGACCTCCTGCATACCAGGCGAGGGAGCTAACATCTCGCCACCGTAGCACGTTATCCAGTATGGATCTAACATAATGGAGCACCCAGATGTGGTAGATGCAGTCACGGCAGATGTTTGTAACACGGCGGGTTTAAATTGAGATGCTTGTCAAGCATTACCCCGATCATATTTACAGTCAGAAAAGGGTAGCGGAGCCATCGGCAAAAATTGACTTGCACATTGCCTTCAATTTGGCGATTGTCTCCAATTTTGCTTTAGTTCAACCGCATGTCGTTGTTGCACAAACTATGTTGATAGTGCACCTGTGCACTGATTGAAGTCAATATTGACAGTCGATGTCGTACGAGGCTCTAATGTCACAAAGTGTTGTGTCATTGGCGCAATACGTTAAAATGTTTTCACTTTCATGCTTTTTTTCTTTTTTAGAAGGTTTTTTGCTTAACGCAAAGCATGACCACTACATCGCAAGTTTGGCGGGTGACGGACTACTCACTACAATGCGAGGAGTCGAACTGCTCGCTAACAGCACCTTCCCTACGTGCGTGGATTCTGTAGCGTGTTCCCAATTGTGATTGTCCTCAACAAAGTTATGGTTGTTCCAGTGTCAGACAGGCAGGAAGCAGTCCGTCCGTAGGCTGCATTGAAACAACACGGTTTGGCCCGGGGTGACCCGGCCAACCCCTGTAGTCAATGCGGCTGGTTTTCTGTTGGGTATTTATCTACTATATTTACCCAAGAATGTCAGTGTGTAACGCGTGTGACGTCACTCCACATCGACCAGCCCTCCTCATTAATAATCATGAACTGGTTACGTCCTCCACATGGACCCGCCCTTCATTAATAATCATGAGCGGGTGACGTCATTCCCCATCGTACAACCCCCCTCATTAATAATCATGAACAGGTGACGTCCTCCAAATGGACACCCCCCCTCCATTAATAATTCGCGGGTGACATCACTCCACAAGGAGGGCGAGGTGCCTCCTCAAAAGGACGTCAGGATGAACAAGGGATTATAAACTTTTAATGGAATAGGTCTGTGTCACCGCGGCCTTACACATTGCACACAAATGGATGCAATGAATATCACGTCGCGGTCTGCTTTTCGCTTGCAAGTTTCAGATTTTACTGCAATGCACCCGTACTTGGACGGGCAAAAGGATAGTATAACTAATAGTTGCACAACTTTCTGAGTTTCATTTATGTTGATCATCTTTATGAGGGTTATGCCCCTGTGTTAAGGGCAAACAGACAGACGGACCTGATGCATGAATACGTTTTAATCTTATTTGAAGAGCATTAAAAAGCAGTGCAGTATTATAATACAAATGAATGTTTTCATTTAAAAAAAATATATCAACAGAACTATAATATTTGATACGGGGATTAACTGTTGTTTCTCTTAAATTTAGTTGATTAACAATCAGAGAACTGATGATCAAATTAGAGTGTGAAATACTTACTCGATGAATTGGTTATAATCCATGGATAAGCAGTCGTTGCAGGTGCTGAAGAAGCAAACACGAATGTTAATTTACTAGAATTTTACGTTTTATTATAAATGGTAATGATCGAATTCGCTTTATCAATGGTTAAAACACACAGAAAAGTGTTAAATCATATCTATAACCAACAATGCGATTACTGAGTGAATATAATTACATTGGTCTGTAAACATATTATTTAAAATATGGAAAAATGCGTGTATGTTTAAATACAACTTGGAGAGAATAAACATTTTAACAAATTCGAGATTTGAAGCTTTCGTGACTGCAAGGATTCATATTCTTAGGTTTTTTCGGTAAAGTCACGTAGGTAAACAAATAACTCACATGTTTGAATCGTGACTGTTGTCACTGGAGTTGTGGAAGCTGAAAACCGTCAGATCTGCTATTAGTTTATGTAGTAAAGTTGATGTATAAAGATGCATTTAAAAAATCATAGTTTCTGAGCACAATATCCAGATGGGCCCAGAATGCCAAGGAGCCAGCAATAAACATCGTCATACTATTACTCTGAGCATGTTGAACAATACCACCAGATATAATGAACTAATGAACCCTGCCACCCAACGAGAGATGTCAATTCTCAGACTGTCCGAGTGAAACTCGAAGTGACAAACCTTGTCTACTCGAAGATTATTGTCTTTCAGAAGGTCGCTCCAGAAGGCAGCCGAGGTCACAAAACAGAATCGAGTGAATCCTCACGTAGTGCATTATCGCTGATGGACTACTCACTATAATGCGAGTCTAGCACGTGACAGGCTGCTCAGGACAACGCGAGTCGAGCACGTCACAGACCACTCGCGACAACCCGAGTCTAGCAAGTGACGGACTACTCGTTGCAACGCGAGTCGAGCACGTGACGGTGTACTCAGTACACGGCGAGTCTAGCACGTGACGTATTACTAGCGAGTCTAATGCAGGACGGACTACTCGATATAACGTAAGTCTAGTGCAACCATTGTGGTTGTGTTACTAAAAATTGGTGCATATATTCGCACTACAATATATTTAGTGGTGATTAAACCTCGTGAATCTTTCTGGGTTACGGTTGGCTTAAGATAAATGGGAAGTATGCTAGGCCACGCCCTTCATCAACCTCTCAGAATAGGCAGGCACCTGACTCAATTGCCAGAGTCACGTGACCACTGCAGGATCATTTTGAAGAGAGGGAGATGTTTATCGGAGGGCCAATCGTGACACCAGCACGTCGATATTACAGGTCCGTTGGCGTACCTGTGAGCTGCCAGCCGGACAAAGAAACATCTAATTTTGGACCCTCGTCCAGAAAGTCATTGGGTGCACGTAGCCAGTGTTTGGAGCGATAGCGAGTCGTGTCACAGTTGACAAGGAGGAGGATCACGCAACTTTTATTTTATTATTTATGAATTACCGCCCTCTGTCCTCGATCACGACCAGGAGAGATCGAGACACAGTGGGCACATGTCACACTTTCACGTGACGGACTACTCGCTATAACGCGAATCTAGCACGTCACGGACTACTCGCTATAACGCGAGTGTAGCACGTGACGGACTACTTTTCTGAGCGGCCAGGGTCTTAGCAGCGTTGTTTTGTGATGCTAGAAGCTGGTAGTTTAGTGTCGTAGTATTGGTACTGTACCACTGATACACGTTGTGATACATGGCATGCCTTCCTCTTCCTCCGCAGGCTTTATTCTGGCATCTTTGCATGCGCATCGTCATCTCTCTCCCACATCTTTTTCACTCGCCATATCTCTCACACAATTTATGTTTAAATAAATGACTGTCACACATAGCATATTTATTAAAACATATAAACTCAACACGTAAAAAAGCATGTACAACAGTGGACTGTGATATAAAAACAATACAATTACGGTTTGGAATGGCACCCGGCACCTTCACTGTTATTCCCCAGGGGACAATGATTCCTGCTTAACGCGAATTTGCTTTAAGCAGCTATTTTTAGGAACGCGACCGCCGCGTTAAGCGAGGACTCGCAGCATGCGAGTGTGATTTTTTTGTTTTACTTAAGGAATGTTACGTTTAAAAACCAAGCTCGGTGTTAAGCACATTTACTAAAAGTGTACTCACTTGTTGATTCAGTTGTAGATGTTGTTATACTTAAATCTGCCGTAGCTGAAAAATAATGATCAAATAAATATGAATTGAATTTGTACATCTTATATCAAGGGCATAGGGGTTCTGAGATTCTTCCTCAATCACACTTATTTCTGGATATCTAAACATGATAATAATAAAATAATCACCGTTTAAGTTGCAATTATCATCCTCCACTTTGGTGACACAGCCCAGTGATAGTGCATTCGCCACTTATTGCAGAGGTTCACAATTTAACTCTGGCAGGCAGCCCTGGTTAATACTGCAAGTGCATTAACCATAAAATCTCTGCCATCTGCTTCTCAGCAGATGTTAAAGATACCGTAAAGTCGTTCAAAAAGAGAGGGCCATTGTGTGCCGGCGTCATGGTCACAATCTATCATATTTGAAATATAATGCCGCAAATGTCTCAATTGGGATTATACAGCAATCATCAAATCATACTGGACGACTAATTCCCGCTTGCAGGCCGGTGCTCTGCTACCTTGTCACATACATGGGCAGCTGCCAATGTGGGTTCCCTTGGAATATTTGAGTGAGACGCAATGGAAAAGCTCACTGAGCCTCAACACTCTTTGACGTCAATCATGCCAGTCGAGGCGATGTTGCTCTGTATAATCCTCTATTGAGTAATTTAGCAGGATATTTGAAAAATTTAGATGTTTTGGCCAATACCAGTTACATTGTAAATATACAGTGAGGGAAAAAAGAATTTGATCCCCTGCTCATTTTGTACGTTTGCCCACTGACACAGAAATGATCAGTCTATACTTTTAAATGTAGGTTTATTTGAACAGTGAGAGACAGAATAACAACAACAAAATCCAGAAAAACGCATGTCAAAAATGTTATAAATTGATTTGCATTTTAATGAGGGAAATACGTATTTGACCCCTCTGCAAAACATGACTTAGTACTTGGTGGCAAAACCCTTGTTGGCAATCACAGAGGTCAGACGTTTCTTGTAGTTGGCCACCAGGTTTGCATACATTTCAGGAGGGATTTTGTCCCACTCCTCTTTGCAGATCTTCTCCAAGTCATTAAGGTTTCGAGGCTGACGTTTGGCAACTCGAACCTTCAGCTCCCTCCACAGATTTTCTATGGGATTAAGGTCTGGAGACTGGCTAGGCCACTCCAGGACCTTAATGTTCTTCTTTTTGAGCCACTCCTTTGTTGCCTTAGCCGTGTGTATTGGGTCATTGTCATGCTGGAATACCCATCCATCGACCCATTTTCAATGCCCTGGCTGAGGGAAGGAAGTTCTTACCCAAGATTTGACGGTACATGGCCCCTTCCATCGTCCCTTTGATGCGGTGAACTTGTCCTGTCTGCTTAGCAGAAAAACACCCCCAAAGCATAATGTTTCCACCTCCATGTTTGACGGTGGGGACGGTGTTCTTGGGGTCATAGGCAGCATTCCTCCTCCTCCAAACACGGCGAGTTGAGTTGATGCCAAAGAGCTCCATTTTGGTCTCATCTGACCACAACACTTTCACCCAGTTGTTCTCTGAATCATTCAGATGTTCATTGGCAAACTTCAGACGGGCATGTATATGTGCTTTCTTGAGCAGGGGGACCTTGCGGGCGCTGCAGGATTTCAGTCCTTCACGGCGTAGTGTGTTACCAACTGTTTTCTTGGTGACTATGGTCCCGGCTGCCTTGAGATCATTGGCAAGATCCTCCCGTGTAGTTCTGGGCTGATTCCTCACCGTTCTCATGATCATTGCAACTCCACGAGGTGAGATCTTGCATGGAGCCCCCGGCCGAGGGAGATTGACAGTTCTTTTGTGTTTCTTCCATTTGCGAATAATCGCACCAACTGTTGTCACCTTCTCACCAAGCTGCTTGGCGATGGTCTTGTAGCCCATTACAGCCTTGGTGTAGGTATACAATATTGTCCCTGGCATCATTGGAGAGCTCTTTGGTCTTGGCCATGGTGGAGAGTTTGGAATCTGATTGATTGATTGATTCTGTGAACAGTATACAGGTGTAGGGCTTGAGTATAGCGCGCCACGCATCCCGCGCCTCTGTTGCCATGCAAGCAAGCACAGTACAGTGGGGTGATGTGAGGTAATGGTTGTTGTTGTGGCTTTAGGCGAAGTGGGTCGTTAAGGGTTGAAACAGGTGTCAGGGTAGCCGGGAGGACACAGGCCAGTGATTGGCTGTAAAGGTAATTGGGTATTAGCGGGCGTCGCTCCAGCGGCGAAAACAAGGCCACGTGACACGGGGGGGGGGCCAGGGGGTGAGCGATAAGCGGGGGGTAGAGATAATTAGGGAGATTTATTGGTGTGGGGATATAAGCCAGAGCGCAACGGAGAGAATGGAGTCCTGTACGAGTTGGCGTCGTGGATGGAGCTGCAGCAACGGTGCCCAGGGAGTCGCAGAGCAAGTGATAGTAGAGTAAAGCGTAGAGAGACAGTGTTAGTAGAGGAAAGCGTAGAGAGACAGTGTCAGTAGAGTAAAGCAACGGAGAGACAGTGGTAGCGAGAACGCAGTGAGCAGACAGGGTAGCCATGCATTGGAAGGATGCAGAGTAGGAGAAACTGTAGAGACGACAAGCGTAGCGATAGTGAGGTAGAGAGGCGCGGAGCGACGCGGAGCGGAGTGAGGGCACGTAGAGACGCAGAGCGATGGCGCAGCAGAGAGACGCGGAGCGGAGCGAGGCCGCGCCGAGACGCGGAGTGGTGGCGCGGCGAAGGTGGACTCTAAGAGGAAAATAAAGAGAAAGACAACCCTTGTACGAGTCCTACACAGGTAAAAAGCCGAGATTAGGAGCACTCCCTTTAAGAGTGTGCTCCTAATCTCAGCTCGTTACCTGTATAAAAGACACCTGGGAGCCAGAAATCTTTCTGATTGAGAGGGGGTCAAATACTTATTTCCCTCATTAAAATGCAAATCAATTTATAACATTTTTGACATGCGTTTTTCTGGATTACTTTGTTGTTATAATGTCTCTCACTGTTCAAATAAACCTACCATTAAAATTATAGACTGATCATTTCTTTGTCAGTGGGCAAGCGTACAAAATCAGCAGGGGATCAAATACTTCTTTCCCTCACTGTATATTTTAGCGGTGGAATGATAATAATGTATCCTGAAAGAATCTGATGAGCTATGAAGCTCGTTTTCACAGATCTCCAATAGGGGTGGATCAGCAAGTTACATGAATAACAAATAATAAAAGTTAAGCAAGTCGATATGAATGAATAAATGGATTCAAATAAAGGACAAAAGTATACAATTCACAATTACTGTACATACATTCTTGACAATCTGTCAACACCAAATGCAAGCTTGGGAACCAGAAGACCCTGAGGAAATTTTCTAATGCAACTAATATAACAATTTGAGACGTTATTATCTAATTCTGTAGAGAAAACCCCTCAATTGTTCAAGAGACACACGAAACAGTTCTTCAAGAGCCGCACGTGGCTTTGGAGCCGCAGGTTGCCGATCCCTGCTCTAAGGAGAGTTTGGAAAATATTGGCGAATGATTTTCACAAGGCTGGATGTTCTGACAACAGAGGTGGAGTTAACGGAGGAAAATTTAATTCCTGCTGCAAGGTCGGTAAATTCAGAAAGCTATGAAGCTGCAAATCAGGAATGGGATCCGCTTGTTGTGAGTAGTGAAAGATATGGCCAACAGAGGCAAAATGGGAATTCATGCCATTTTTGACTTTTTTCAGATCAGAGAGGCAATTACCAATAATCTAGAGTTTATGCAGTACTCCATGGTCAACCGTTTTAACATAAAGCTGCTCCGTAGATTTTCTGAAAAGGATGGAGGAGCAAGTAACGCGCGGGGTGACCATGCAGCGTAGTGAGTACGAATTTAAACATTTGGTTTGCTGTAGTTGTGGGCTATGGGGCCTGGAATAAACTAAGTAGTGACAAAGGCATATTTCGGGAGCGGAGCAAAGTGTCAGGTGGAAAAGAAACAACGTAGGGTGTCAGATATTCAAACCGCATCACGGCCGTGGTGTGCCCGGGTGTATTGATGAGGGAGCTATTTTCTCTTGGAGGTGAATTTCCGCTGCATCATTTTTGGATCGTCACAGAAAACCACCCGCCGCTGCCGTGGAAGTAGCCCTCCCGAATGCTGAAGACTACGGGGAGTCGGCAGCTAGAACACTCGCGGGGAAGAATGGAGGTGACCACCTGAGGGCTGTGAAGTTGTCCTAGGAACGTGTTATTTATTCTGTTTAAGAACTGGGGGAACACTTAATACGTACCCTGGATGGTTGCTCCGTAATTTTCTCCCGTCAGTGTTCGTATTTGAAGGAATCCGTGAAACCGGTATTGTCCAGTTGTTGTATGATTGTATTGTTTGTTGTTGCTGTTATGAAGGTGACTTGGATTGCTATAATTGCTAATGATATTTTCACTCCCCCGGAGAAGCAGAAAACTTGTCAACATTAAACAATTTAATAACGATTAATAATTTGAATTAAAAATAAACGCCATTATTTTACAGTATACTGGCAGTTATTCTTGTTGTACTCTGCACACAGTCATTGGGTGCGTTTAGTGACACAGGGGTCCCACCATAAACTGTTGGGTATTTACTACTCTATTCACCCAAGAATGTCGGTGTGTAACGCGCGTGACGTCACTCCACGTCGACCAGCCCCCCTCATTAATAACCATGAACAGGTTACATCCTCCACATGGACCCGCCATTCATTAATAATCATGAGCGGGTAACATAACTCCATGGAGAACCCCCCTTATTAATAATCATGAGCAGGTGACGTCACTCCACATCGAACAGCCCCCCTCATTAATAATCATGAACAGGTGACGTCCTCCAAATGGATACCACCCCGCCATTAATAATTCGCGGGTGACATCACTCCACAAGGGGGGCGAGGCACCTCCTCAAAAGGACGTCAGGATGAACAAGGGATTAAAACCTTTTAATGAAATAAGTCTGTGTCACCGCGGCTTTACAAATTGCACAGGAATGGATGCAATGAATATCACGTCACAGTCTGCTTTTCGCTTGCACGTTTCAGATTTATTGCAATACACCCGTACTTGGACGGGCAAAAGGCGAGGATAACTAATATTTGCACATCTTTCTGAGTTTCGTTTATGTTGATCATCTTTATGAGGGTTATGCCCCTGTGTTAAGGGCATACAGACAGACGGATGGGCAGACCTGATGCATGAATACGTTTCAACCTTATTTGAAGTACAATAAAAAGTAGTGCAATATAATACAAATGAATGTTTTCATTTGAAAAATATCAAAATAACTATAATATTTTACATGGGGATTAACTGTTGTTTCTCTTTAATTTAGTTGATTAACAATCATAGAAATAGAATGTAAAACACTTACTCGATGAATTGGTTATAATCCATGGGTAAGCAGTCGTTGCAGGTGCTGAAAAAGCAAACACGAATGTTAATAAAATAGAGTTTTACGTTTTATTAGAATTAGTGATTATCGAATTCTCTTTATTAATGGTTAAAACACGTACAGAAAAGTGTAAAAACATATCTATAACCAACAATACGATTACTGAGTGAATATAATTACATTGGTCTGTAAACATATTATTTAAAATATGGAAAAATGTGTATATGTTTAAATACAACTTGGAGAGAATCAACATTGTAACAAATAACTCACATGTTTGAATCGTGACCGTTGTCGCCGGAGTTGTGGAAGCTGTGAACAGTCAGATCTGCTATTAGTTTATGTTGTAAAGTTGATGTATAAAGATGCATTAAAAAAATCATAGTTTCTTAGCACAAGATCCAGATGGGCCCAGAATGCCAAGGAGCTAGCAATAAACATCGTCATACTATTACTCTGAAAATGTTGAACAATACCACCGGATCTAAGAACTAATGAACACTGCCACCCAACGAGAGATGTCTCAGACTGTCTGGGTAAAACTCGAAGTGACAAACCTTGTTTACTCGATGATTATTATATCTTTCAAAAGTTCGCCCCAGAAGGCAGCCGAGTCACCAAACAGAATAGAGTGAATCCTCACGTAGTGCATTATCGCTGACGGACTACTCACTATAATGCGAGTCTAGCACATGACAGGCTGCTCAGGATAACGCGGGTCTAGCACGTCACAGACCAGTCGCGACAACCCGAGACTAGCAAGTGACGGACTACTCGTTGCAACGCGAGTCGAGCACGTGACGGTGTACTCAGTACAAAGCGAATCTAGCACGTGACTGACTACTAGCGAGTCTAATGCAGCACAGACTACTCACTATAACGCAAGTCTAGTGCAACTATTGTGGTTGTGTTACTAATAATTGGTGTATATATTCGCACTACAATATAATTAGTGGTGATTCAACCTTGTGAATGTTGCTGGGTTACGGTTGGCTTAGGATAAATGGGGGATATGTTAGGCCACGCCCTTCATCAACCTCTCAGAATAGGCAGGCACCTGACTCAATTGCCAGAGTCACGTGACCACTGCAGGATGATTTTGAAGAGAGGGAGATGTTTATCGGGGGGCCAATCGTGACACCAGCACGTCGATATTACAGGTCCGTTGGCGTACCTGTGAGCTGCGAGCCGGACAAAGAAACATCTAATTTTGGACACTCGTCCAGAAAGTCATTGGGTGCACGTAGCCAGTGTTGGGAGTAATAGCGAGTCGTGTCACAGTTGACAAGGAGGAGGATCACGCAGCGGAACCAAAACAACTCAGAGTACTACCATAACTGTAATTTATCATTTATTAATGACCGCACTGTGTCTTGGATAACGATCACGACCAGGAGAGATCGAGACACAGTGGGCACGAGTCACACTAGCACGTGACGGACTACTCGCTACAACGCGAGTCGAGCACGTGACGGACTACTCGCTACAACGCGAGTGTAGCACGTGACGGACTACTTTTACTGGTAGGAACGAAGTGGACCAGACCACCAATAGATTAATGTGTCCGTCCGTCCGTCCGTGTATCAACATCGCCCCCTACTGCAAACACTTGGCATGACCCTGTCCGACAAGATGGCCGCCCGCTCCCCCTGCGATCTGTGAATTAAACAAGATGGCCATCGCTTCCGGCGCATCACGGCAAAACTTTAAACTTCGCTTCAAAATTACTTTACTGAAACGCAGCACGTTTTTAAAAAAAATACTTTACTGAAACGCAGCACGTTTTTTTTAACAGAGACAAGAAACATTTATTAATACAGAGACGAGATACATTTAATCGCCTTATTTGTGCACGAAAAGCACGGCGCGAGGCCTAGTGCGGCAGGCTTCGCGAGGCCTAGTGCGGCAGGCTTCGCGAGGCCTAGTGCAGAAGGTGTTGGTGGGTGGTGGTGGGGTGGTGGTGGTGGGGGGTGGTGTTGAGGGTGGTGTTGGGGGGTCTTTAAATCTCACAGCGTTTCTTGTCAAAACAAACACTTTTAATTAACGTTACACTAGAATACAGTAATTTTTTCTTTAGCTCCTCTATACCCGGTCGATATCCCTGTACCGGTACTAAGTATTATTCCTACCAGCCCACCCCGCAGGGTCCTGTTCTGAGCGGCGTTGGTGTTAGCAGCGTTGTTCTGTGATGCTGGAAGCTGGTAGTTTAGTGCCGTAGTATTGGTACTGTAGTACTCATACGCGCTGTGATACATGGCATGCCATCCTCTTCCTCCTCAGGCTTTGTTCTAGCATCTTTGCACGCGTATCGTCATATCTCTCTCCTTTTAACTCGCCATATCTCTCACACTTCATGTCACACATGGCATATTTAGGTAGTATATAAACGCAACAGGTACAACAACACTTAAAACAGTGGACTGTGAAACAAAAACAATACAATTACGGTTTGGAATGGCACCCCTTCCTTCGCCGGTATTCCTTAGTGGAAAATTACTCCTGCCTAACGCGAATTTGCTTTAAGCATAATACAGGTTTTTGGGTTAGATCGCGTTATTTACAAATGTGTCGTAACCCTCCACCACCCGACACGGCTAAACAGTAAAAAATGTGTCACGTTTCCAAAGGACAAATCGTTCACTACTTTAGCCCACCGGTGTGTTGAAGAGTGAATCAACATCATTTAAAATTTGAGTACGACGCTTCGCTGGTAATTACATCCAGCTTCATCGGGCAATTGCAGCAGCAGGGTGACGTCATCATTTAATTCATTCTGGTGCAGTGATTTGAGGCAGAGAGGGGGAGGGTATTGTAATTATATAATAGATTGGTAATAATTCAATTGTTATTCATTGATATTCTGTTTTCCTTATAAGGAATTGTATTTGTATTATATATTTTATTTAATAATACGCTTCCAGGCCGCACTAAGCCTGTAGCTGTCAGAGCGATTAAAGTTACTTGTATTTCTCTCAATTTCAATGGATTCTATAATTAGTCTTGGCCAGTAATAATTAGTTACACAACACTTCATCGTTATCAAAATCAATTGAGTGCCCTTGTTGAATAAGCATGCTCTGCCACTGCCGACAGTTGTGTTTGAGATAATTTAATATTTCTTTGGTGCTCTTTTAGTCTTATGATGTTACGTTCCGAATGTCCAATATAGTATCTGCCACAAACAATTAATCCGATATACACCTTCTGTTGATAAATTTAGGCAATTCGTCTTTAGTGCCAGATACCAGTTTTTTTTATTTTGTGTACTGTACCAAATCTTCTTTAATGTTTTGCTTTTGCAAAACACGGGCTGATGTGACTAGCCTTTTGCCCGTCCAAGGACGGGTAAAAGGCTAGTCACATCATCCTGGCAGCTGCCAATGTGGGTTTCCTTAGAATGTTTGAGTGAGATGCAATGGAAAGCCTCACTGAGCCCCAACACTTTCTGGCATCAATCATGCCAGTCGGGGCTATGTTGCTCTGTGTAATGCTCTATAGAGTAATTTAGCACGACATTTTAAAGAATTGAGATGTTTTAGCCAATACCAGTTACATTGTAAATATATATTTTAGTGGTGGAATTATAATCATTCATCCTGGAAGAATCTGATGAGCTATGAAGCTCTTTTTCACAGATGTTCAGTAGGGTTAACAAGTTACATTAATAACAATAGACAAAAACGATATAAGAGCAACATATAAAAAGTAAGAAAGTCGATATAAATGAATAAATGGATTTAAATAAAGGGCAAAAGTATACAATTAATAAATTATTGCTATTCTTTCAACACCAAATGCAACCCTGAGGAAATCCTCTAATGCAACAAAAATAACAATAGGAGAATTTTTTCTCGAATTCGGTTAAAAAACTCAATATTTCCAGAGCCGCAATGTACGTGGTGAATACGAGTCGGCGGTCCTTAATAAATAACGTCACGAAGCAGTCCTTGAAGAGCCGCATGTGGCTCTGGAGCAGTGGCGTCACTAGGGGGGTGCGGACCGCACCGGGTGACACCATCAGAGGGGGTGACACCAAAATGACTGTCTAACATTTTTGTGCAGTGTTTCAGCAGAAATGTATTATTTTTATGAAAAATATCCCTGTAGTTATAACATAAAAAAACATTTTTCGTAAGCCCAGCTTACATGTACTGTATCAATATACCTACAAGGCTAAAACTCTATGCTAATTAACTTTTTGAACCTTCTAATGCCCTCCGGTCAGAGCTGTCATTATTCCTAATTACAATGACGCTTTGAATCACGTGGTTTCGTCTGCACGCGCTACAAGCACGCGCTGTTGATTTCGTTGCTGCTGGTGTTTTTATAGTCGCTGATTTTGTCAAATATTCTGGTGTTTTAGCTACAATATTGTGGTAATTAGTATTTGTGAAACTATATCAATAACTTTTTTGAGAATGAAGTACCGTATTTTCCCGCATATAACCCGCGGGGTAAACCACTTTTTACAAACAAGACCCTGCGGGGTATATGGAGGTGCGGGCTATCCCAAAAATATTTTACACGTGTGACATGTCATAACTCGTTTAATTGTTTCATGGTAGGACGATCCACTATGCAACACTTACCTTTGACTAAAGCACTGTTGAATAAACCACTCACACTAAAATTGCACATTGAAATTGACTTACAGTATCCTGGAGTTTACAAATTGAGTTGCATTTGTGGTGATTGCTACATTGGAGAAACGAAACGTCATGTTTCTGATCGTGTCCGCGAGCACAAGTCAGATCTGAAACACGGCAGAACTGATTCTTCGGCCGTTGCCGATCATTGCTACAACTCGGTGGGCTCTCATGAAATTGTCTTTTCCGAGAACAAGGTTCTCTGCAAACTTCCCGGCTACCATCAAAGGTTTGTACACGAAGCCATACAAATATACAAACACAGACATAATTGCAACCGTGATGAGGGGTACAAACTTAGTAATCATTGCAAAGATGTTATCAACCACGCAAAAAAAAGACTTAATTACACTGTTTTGGACCATCTTATCTGACAGGCACTATCTTACTTTACTTTACCGAGTGTTAACATCCCCAGTGTTTAACAGTACTCTCTTCATTGTTCAGCCAGCATTGGTATAAACATGGGCATTTTCGTTCTTTTTCTATCATGTGTATCAGGCCTCCCCCTCCCCCTCTCTGTCCAATGCGTTGGCGTTGTGCAACAGCAACCGCTTCCACGCCGTCGTTCATTATTTGGCCCCGCCCCCCCTCCCCCTCCCGATGCCTTGTGCAACACCAACCGCGTCCACGCCGACGTGCATTCTTTTGGTCTCGCCCCCCCTC